TCCTCATCATCATCATCATCATCATCACTACTACTACCACCACCACCACTACTACTACTACTACTACTACTACTACTACCACTACTACTTCTACTACTACTACTACGACCACTACTGCTACCACCACTATCACTATAAATGCCACTACTACTGACGTTCATTGTCACTAATTCTGCAAATGACTTTTAGTTTGAAATGTCATATATTTTCGAATTTCAGTCATAACCGCTGGTCGGTCGAAATCATGCTGTCTTTCGACCGCCTTGACAGTAATTTGCCCATAACCAACTAATTTGGTGGCCGTTTTGAATAGACGCACTCTGACAGGAAGGTTGGTGGAACGGGGTGCCGTCTCCGGGTGAAGTAACAGGTTGTGATACGCAGAGACGTGGGCATTGAAAAAAAGGGTTAACCGTCGTCCAATCTGTGTACGGTTGCGTCAGAAGGTTGACGGAATCACTGTTTCCTCTTGAAAAGGTTATTTAACAGACCCGTGCCGACCTAACCCCGGACAAGTCCCCCGTCGCCGCACCTCCGGTAGCCCCATCCGCAGCTTCCTGTCGTCGATGTGAGTCTGGGCACTTGTCTGGTTTTGTCCCATCCTCAACCAATAGGCGTCACCCTTGCTTCGCAAGAAAACGTCAATGCTAGTCAGACCTGCGTTTTGCCACCTGAATGTTTTTCCAGCTCTCTTCGATAGACCAGTCGACCGCCGGTGTTGCTTAGCCCTCATCAGACACTGCTGCCGCACTCCTGACTCCTCTAAAGAAACTGGGGTTTCGTCTCTTTAGCAGTTTCCCTTACATCAGAACCCCGTACCTGCCGGGACAGGAGAGCTTGCAAGGGTCAGTTCAGGCTTATTTGCAGCCCCAAACCAGCCGTAGTCCAACCGCACATATTCATTGAGAATTTAATCGATAACTAGCGTCTCACCCTTGCGATGGGGACTATTCCGCCACTTGAGAATCGTTCTTGTTTTATTCTGCAATCAGAACAGATCGACAAGTGCCACTGGCATGAGACGCCTTGTCTGTGTAGCGCGGTCTGCTGACCCGTAAATATTACCTAGCAATCGAAATTCCGCTGCCCATCTTCGTTGTCTAGTTAACCTTGAGATATCACACTAGGCCTGCCCTACATTCCGTCGGTTGACTGTCTTAAATATCCACGCTGGCAGCTACTAGTTTACACACCCTCCTCCAACTGTAGGTGTGAACAAGCACCAGTCGGCGGTGACGTGTGTTCAGATGACACACAACTTCATCGTCTCTTCAAGCGATGATGGGACAGTGAAGCTGTGGGACCGCGAGACCGGTGAGTACCTCCGTGATCTACTGCGTCTGGACACTTTCGGTTCCGGTGGGGTAGTGTGGAGGATAGTCGCCTCGCCGACACGTCTTGTCTGCGCCGCGGGTAGTCGCTGCGGCTCTGAGGCGACCAAATTAATTGTCTTCAGCTTTGAGGAGCCCATCTCCTCGGAGCACTGCTGCCAGACACAACATCTTATCTCCCCTCCGCTCTGCCTAAGTCAGCTGCTGTCTTCAACTTTTGGATCGGTTGACCGCGGTGATTCACACCGGCAGGAGCGGCTTCCCAACGGCATAAGCTTGCTGAATGATATAGAGGTGGAAGAGCCCCGAAACCCAGCTCGCCACCGGACTCCAATCGACTGCCGTAACACCGCCGCCTCGCCGCGCTTTAACCCTCCTCCACCCCACCTTTCTCCATCGCCCTGAGCCCTCCCGTCTCTCCGCGGACGTTCCGCTTCTACACAAAGTCTTTCTGGGTCATGCACGCGCCCTGTGGTCATTTAACTCGGGAAAGCAACCCGTCGCAGGTTGCGAACTCTCCAACCCCCCCCCCCCTTTACGTATGGGGCAGCAAGACCTGCCCCTTCCCAACGTATGTGACGTGCAAATCCCTCCCTACCTGTCCCTATCCCAACTCTACTTTCCTCTCCTCTTGGCTAACCGTGAGTACCAGTTAATTTGCACAGGTTTCCGCGAACAACCCGTCGGCTTATTTTCCTAGGCCTCGTTTGACTTATTTTAGGCACTTGTACAGGTAAATGCTCCAACCTTAAACCGTGTCTTTGGTTCGGCATCTAACAGGCTCTGCCCTTCTTCAACGCCCCGGGGGGATTTTGGCCATCTATAAGCCGTACTGTCTGTTCCTTTGGTGCAGACGTGTTTGCCATAAAATGATCGTCGGACTTCAAATCCGTACTTGATTCAGTAGAGTTGGGGAAGATTAGAGTGCCTTCCGCCAATCCGATCCACCCCGTCAGTTGTAAAGTGCGCGGAGTAAAAAGCGAATGGCGCAAAGACTCGAGCTCATTCTTTGTTTGATCTCTATGAGCAGTGTTCTCACGTGCTAACCTCCAAAACCTACTTAGTCGAACCAGCTTGTCTAAATTTTCTACTCTTTGTTTAGGTTTTAAAATGATCTGTGACTTCTCTTTCCGTCCTATAAGGGTCGAAGCTCTCTTTTTCCTTCTTTGTGAGACGCCTTCAAAGCCAAACTCCGCGGACGGCGGGTCTGCTGCGGCGAAAGATAGTTACAAAATAAGCAGCTGTTCAATCGACTGGCGAACAGGCAACGGACTAGCAGCGACGGTTACCAGGGCGTGGCAGGCTGACGCTCGTCACGAGAGCTATTGTATAGAGTGGCGGGAGGTCCCACGGCAGAGGTTTCATGACGACTGACAGGCATCCATTGGCCTTTTTGCCGCTGCTACCTCGTGGTTAAGTTCTGACCAGCCAGGAGACAACCTCACGCAATCCGATCGGCTACTTGGGAGACGCTGAAGATGCCAGAAACGTGCCACGGCAGTTCAGGTCTATTAGCTCAGATACTACCAAAGCCGCATTAAGTACAGGCAACGACTTCTCTCATGCTATGCACGAGATGGCATGTTTCCACTTCTAAGGCGCAGGAATTCTGAAAGAACTTTCTTCTGCTACCATGATCTCATGTGAAAAGAAAATACGTCTCACCTCGCTGCCGGACGTTAGCGCAGAGCCCTATCTTGCCTCAGAAACGTGCGGATATTGCTCGAATTCGGAGTGCTAGCAGTCGGGACGAATCTAATTCATTGTACGTAGGGGTTATCACCACTAAGGGCCTACAGTACTGAATAGAAGGGTAGAAGCTGCAGCCTAGACTAAGCATCCACCTCCGTTGTCCCCATTCAACCAGAGATGCCTCCGACTTCCTGCTGATTTTGCTGTTCATATTCACCTACGCGAAGCGGGGATATCACAGCTCTTGTTATCGTCCTCGTTTTCATATCTAACGCGGGCTTAATGTACAAGTAGCCTGAAAACTGGGCTCTTTGGCGTCACAAGTATACACGGGGCTTGCTATATACATACTTCTACCGCAATAAAACCGCTTTTTGGCTACAGATCGCATACTATGCCCAGAGTTTGTCTCCCTTGACACCACCCTCCGGCCCGGATTAAAACACCCGCTCATCCAGTCTGCAGCCAGGAACTTGGTCGGCACCAACCGATTGAATCGGAAGAAAGACAAAAGACAACTTCGGAGCAGTACAGAAACACTTTGTAGAAAAGGCCACCAGAGGGGTAGAGTTGAGGGATTAAAAATAGAATGATCAAGGGGATAAGACCACAAAGCGGTCAAATAAATGCTACCAAAGCGGGTTTTTGGTGGGAGGGTGAAATACTCATTCTCCACCGCGAGGACATCACTTAGTTGTTTTTGGTGTGGCATTTTGTAGATCACAGCCGCTGTAGCTGACTTCGTAGTTTTTGGCATTGTTCCGAAGCTGAAAGGTTGCGAGGTGATAGCAAAAAACTGGTGAGTGTACAGTGATAGACGGCAAAGAAAACGCAAATTATGTCGCATAAATTCGTGACTAGTTTCAACTGGTAACGCTGACCATTATAGTAACACTGGACTTGCTCCCTTAATGAAAAATATCAAATAAGCACTGGTCTAACATTTCCACAGCGGAATCAGAAAAGCATACTACGTCAAGGCGTTTACATTATGGAATCAAAACGGCGAGTGCCCGCTTTTAATGCAATGCAAAGATGGTTCCAAAATATAAACATGCCGTTATCACGCATTGCCGTTTCTAAAAGGCATAGGGGTTTATATTGGGAGACAAGCGCAGCGTACAAACCACTACCTCCCCACACCCAGCATGTTCTAATGGCAGCGGAGTCATGACGACTGAAGATGGCTGAATCCACATGTGGCGTGTCATGCCTACACGTACATGCTAATCTTACAAAAAAGGGCTTCGGGTCTTTTATCGAAAGGGGCTAACATAAGGGCGACCGACAGTAAGGCAGCCATTGCAGCCTGGCCCTTAGTCCGATAGACAACCGAATTACCCCCATCAGTTGAGTGCCTATCAATCTACAATTGTTGGGGACGCCGTGAGTGTTGGATCCGAGCCGGACCGACCTCAGCCTTTTTGCCCTCCCATCACATAAAGGTGATAGATTCCAACAAGGCCGTCTGGAGACAGGATTTGACATAGCAACTGGCGCGGTCGAAGGCCGCCTCCTAGAGCTTGCCACACGCACCTGTGCCCCCCCTCCCCCCGGCTAGGAGTAACGCAGTAGGCCTGTTCACCCGACATGCGTCATAGGCCTGTGTGGTCCTCATTTGGTCCAACGCCGCTTGGGGGAGGGGAGCTGTGCCACGCACCGATAGACGGCAAACTGCCTGGTAGAGCAGTCAGCTCACCTCGAAGTATCCCGTGTCGCTGTCGTCGTCCGGACATGGCACAAAGGGCATCTCCACTTGGCTGAGCTGCTCCCAGGAACCGATATGCGCGAAGAACTCGTGTTTTCTTATGCCAGCGACCAATCGCATTCGTTCTTCTGGCGATCGTGATAGCAACCCGGTTATAAGTTGGCGGGATGGTTCGGAGAGGCAATCCTCCGTATCAGCCTCTGGCCAAGGAATATCTGCGGAGGGGAGTAAAGGGTGGTTTGAAATCGTTCTTGGATTTTTACTTTGTCAACTTTACCATGAATGGAAGTAGCTGCACCCTTTGCCCACGGTAAGAACTATAAGTTCAGACCCGAAGGTGAAGAAACAAATATAATCAAAAATTTAGGAGGAATGAAAGGCAGGCAAGGGCGGATGCTGAAAATGAAGATTCTGCCAATGGCATAGAAGACGCTACCTGCAGTGAGAATGTTGTTGAAAATAGCCTCCGGAGTTTCATCAGCGAACGGAGTCACGCCGGTGAGCATTTCGAAGAGGATGACTCCCATAGCCCACCAGTCGATAGCGGGATTATCTTGGGCCCTGATGGACTCGGGAAAGCGGAGCATCTCAGGCGCCAGGTAGTCGGGAGTGCCCAACAGACGTTTTCGAGCTGGCGTCTATGTAGAGACACAGAACAGGATTTACATTTGTGACGGTACCGCCGATTAGAGGCTGTAATTAAGATGGACTTCCGAGTCAAAATAACAAGAGTGGTGGTTTAATAAGGTTTCATTCACCCCGAGTTAGGATGGATGGCGTAGGGGACTCGCATGCGAAATGAGTGAGAATTCACGACTGCTGGGACACTGGCAGTAACGCAAGTTTGGTGGGCAGACTCAAAAAAAGCATGATGTCTAAAGAGGCTAATTGCCTTTCAAAGACAGTCAGGTCGTTGGAGGCAGTGAAGTCCACCTCCGTCCCGAGGAGTTTCAAGTGGCTCACGTAGGAAGTTGATAATAGCTAAAAAAGTTCGCGTAGCATCCAAATTACGCTCTCCCAATGACTACATGACACAGGGCTACAGCCAGTCTACGCGTGCCACACGACCCGGTTCAACTCCATACGGATGGGCTTGTACAATCTAGCGGAAATTAGGGACGCCATGAAGGCCACTATAGTCTAACCCTCAGTCCTAGGTAGGACCCAGTTATCCCATAAGTCGGTAACCCTCCATGCCATGAGTGTTAGTTCGTCGAGAGCTATAGTAGAGCCCAGGCACTGGGGCTCAACCAGATCGACCATACCCTTCTGCCCCATACCGTGGTGTATAGGAATCAAGTCTACCGATGATGGGCGTAGTGGTTGAAGTGGCCCGAACCCCCGTCCCACGTGTGCCACACGAAGTTACGTCAATACTAACACAAACTCAGAAAAGCCCGACTTTGGCGAATGGGGCCGTGCCAAATGTCTCGGTGCATGAAGTGGCCCTTCTGCTCGTCTGCGATTTAAAAAATCTGTGCTGAGAGCAGTGGCGGGGTTGGTGGTCGTCGTCGTTACGTCATATTCGGGAAGTGCTATCGGCGAAGACAGAGACAATGAGATGGCCACTTTTGACTTTTTTTGCCATTATAGGCCAGTGACAACCCAATCCCAGACTGCACGCCCCAGGCCTGAACTGGGGTCAACTGAGGTAGGCAGTGTTCAGTCACATGAGGGTGGCGGGTACTGGCCTATCCTGATCGCAAGACAGAAATGAGCATTTCCCTATGGCCTTGGAGTCCCGGGTCTAGAAGGTCAGAGGGCGATCAGTAACCAATAGTTTGCCTGGTAAATACCTGCCGATTTCAGCTGCAGACATTTATGAAAAATTTAATACCGTTCGTTAAAAATAATCAAAGTATAATCCCTGAGCATCCATGCATCTCTTCCGTTGATGAACAAAATCATTTATACCTCGTTAATAATAATCTATTGGTTTTGGTGCTAAGAAAACGTTGAATCCACCTCAGGTTTGTTCTTGAAAATTTTATTGCTTAAAATGGTGTCTAGGTGCTTTAAAAAGTGGCAATCGGTGGGTGAATGACCAGGAAAACATTGAGAATGTGATAAAGTATCGTGTCTCAAGTCATTGAGTTCCTGCAATGCCATCCCAGCAATACGTGGGCGTGCGTTTTCGCGGAGGAGGACTGGGCTACGTTGATCCACTAGTAGCGGTCTCATTTTTCCAAAGTGAACGTGCATTTATTCGTCTCATGCAGTAAACCTCTGCTGTGATGTTCTCACTAGCCTCGGGGAAAGTTGTAGTGGACAACACTAATAGCGAGCCTTCCGACTATCACCATAATCTTCTGCTGATGCAACTTCGGTTTCGGGAAATGTTCGGGTGGTTCGTCATGATTGAGCCATTACCCTGGCTGCTTTTCTTCACGCGTCACTATTCAATCAAGAAGTGGATAACTAGTTTCGCAGAGAGAGAGAGAGAGAGAGCGTCGAACACTTTAAGACGCCGAACTCTGATTTTCACTGAGCGCATTGGGACCCGTCTATCGAGTTTTCTCACCTTGCCAACTTTTATCAGATGATCGGACACTGTTGGAATACTCACACCAAGTGCCCTAGACATTTCTCTAACACTTCGACATGGGTTTTCTTCAACAATTGCTTTCGAAAGTCATGCAAGAGAAATAAACGCATTTCTTATTTTTCATTTACGTTAGTAAGGACTTACATCCTCCAAATTTGTACCCTGTAAGAAATTATAGGACAGTTACTGGAGTACATATCAGCTATTAGTCATGTAAAATTGGTAGCCCCACCTGATGGACACAGTACTGCTGGGGTTGTGGTTAAGGTTAGGGGTTAGCGCAACTATTCCTCAAACATTGAAAGTACA